AAATAAGTACCAATAACACATTATACTACAGAAGAACTTGGATTCTTGTTTAAGAATCAAGTTCTTATGGAGCTCTCTAATAACCTCCTATATGAGTTGCTTATAAGAACCTCCTTCAACCGTTACCGCATCCACCATCTCCGTCAATTCATATTGATCTTCAAACTGAATAAAATATAGGTTTTCATTTGTATGAACCAATTTTTTTTCGAACTACCGTTAATTGTATCAAATTCTTCATTCAGGTTTGGCACTATTATATATGTAAGCATTTATATGTATGAAAATTGTTTATAAATTAAATCATGTAAATATTTACTTGTGTGATTTGCAACACTTATATGATAATCAAATCATCAAAGAAACATTAACAACAACTTGTTTATGTTATGTCCCGTCTTAATCATACTAAACTGATGAAGTTAAGTTGGTGGTCTGTTGGTTGAAGCGGTAAACTCAAATAAAGCTGATTGGGTCAACTCAAGTGAAGTGGCACATGTGATAGACCGAGTCTTATGTTATTTCCATTTTTTTAGTATTCTTCTTGTTTTCTAGCTTAGTTTGTTTATTTTAGTTAGTTATGCTCTTGTATTTAAAGCCAGCTTTGGCATTTCTTAATGTATCAAAATTCAGTGAGAAATACCTGTGATTTTGTTTATCATTGTGGTATCAGAGCGAATTAAGATCAAAAGAGAGAAACGCTATGAGTGAGGAAAAGTTGATGGTTCCTGTGTTCGATGGTCATTACGAACACTGGAGTGAAATGATGGAGAACTTGATGTATGCAAAACAGTTTTGGAACCTGATAGATCTGGGAATCGTCGAACCGGCTGTCGATGTTTTCTAGAGCGATTCCCAGAAGAAGCGACTAGAAAAGCTACGAATGAAGGACTTACAGGTGAAGCATTACATATATTAGGCAATTGACAGGATCACGTTTGAACAGATTTTTGATAGGAAAACATCCAAATCGGTGTGAGACTCCATGAAGAAGTGATTTTCTAGAAATGATCGTGTGAAGAAATCCATGTTACAAAAACTTCGGTGGGACTTCGAAGTCCTCGAGATAAAGAATACAGAGACTATACCAGATTACTTTAGTAGGGTCTTGACGATTGCCAACCAGATGAGAAGCAATGGAGAGGTGATGACAAACGTCAAGATCGTTGAAAAGATTCTCAGAACTCTTACTGAGAAGTTCACTTACGTGGTGGTATCAATCGAAGAGTCGAAAAATATAGACACAATGTCTATCAAAGAGCTGCAAAGTACCCTGATAGTTCACGAGCAAAAGTTTAAGAGGCTTGAAAAGAAAGACGAACATGCACTGAAGGTAGATTATGGTGACAGTTCAAGCAATCGTGGACGTGAAAGAGGTCGATCAAGTCCCAGAGGACGAGGACGGGGATGTGGATCTTTCAACAAGGAGACAATCAAATGTTTCAAATGTCATAAACTGGGGCATTATTCATACGAATGCTCAAATGAGAAAGAAGCCAACTATGTTAAATTTGATGAAAATGAAGAAATTATGCTGATGACGGAGGTGGACATAGAAGAAAAGGGTTTATGGCTCATACAAATGATGAGAATAAAGGCTTGTTGTGCTTTTTGGACTCTAGGTGCTCACATCACATGTGTAGTAATAAATAAAGGTTCGTTGATCTGGATCAAAGCTTCTCAAATGCCGTAAAACTTGGAAACAATGCTCGTATGACAGTTGGAGGAAAGGGAAATGTGAAGTTGGTCCTGAACGGGGTAATATATGTGATTAAAGATGTGTACTTTGTACCAGATCTCAAGAATAATCCGCTCAGCATTGGGCAACTCCAACAGAAAGGTTTGTCTTTCCTTTTCCAATCTGACGTTTGCAAGGTGTTCCATCCAGATAAGGGATTGTTGTTTCAAACCTACATGAGCATAAATCGTATGTTTCGTCTTAGTGAGGATACAAATGAAATTGTTGAACAAAAGGCAGATGGGTGTCTGTACTCTAGATGATGACATTACCAGGTTATAGCATGAGCGCTTGGGGGCACCTCAAGAAGACTGGCATAAGATCACTTCAACATAAAGGTATGGTACATGACTTACCTGAAATTGCTGTTGATAGATCTGTTTGTGAAGATTGTATGATGGGAAACAGACTAAGGAGGCAATTCCTAGATCGAGTTCATGGCGTGCAGGAGAGATATTGGAACTGGTGCACTCAGATATATGTGGGCCAATTACACCGTTATCACATACTGGTAAGAAGTATTTTATAAGTTTTATTGATGATTATAGCCGCAAGGGTTGGGTTTACCTGTTGACAGATAAATCACAAGCTTTCGAGAGTTTCAAAGACTTCACAAGAAGCCTGGAGCGGATTGAAGCCAACTGTTGCACATTTCCGGATTTGGGATGTTTGGCACATGTACACGTACCTAAGGAGAAACGGACTAAACTTGACCACAAAAGTTTTGTTTGTGTTTTGACAGGCGTGAGCAAGGAGTCGAAGGCGTATCGGCTCGTCAACCCTCAAACAATGAAGGTGGTAATAAGTAAGAACGTTATCTTTGAAGAGCATAAAGGTTGGGATTGGAATCAAAGTAAAGAAAGGAGAACTGATGACAAGGAACTTGTATGGGATTATGACTTCCTTGATGAAGATCATGACTGTCCTGATGAACATGGTGCTGTTGAACAACAAGTTTTGGCTGAGCCAAATCAGCCGACTAACGATCTCGGTCCTAGCTCTACTCTAGCTAGTGAGGGAAGACAACAAAGACCGCCTAGCTATCTACAAGACTATGTCACAGGTGATAATCTAGAATCAGAGGAAGAAGAGTTGAATGTTGTGGAATTAATCCATCACGATCCCGTTCACTATGAAGATGCAGTCAAGGAAGATAAGTGGAAGATGGCAATGGATTTGGAAATCGAGATGATTGAAAAAAATCAAACTTAGCGCCTAGTTGATTTGCCAAAGGGTGCCAAGTGCCTTGGTGTGAAATGGGTCTATAAGACTAAGTTGAACGAAAGGGGTGAGGTCGAAAAGTATAAGGTGAGACTGGTCGCTAGGGGATACGGTCAAGAGTTTGGAGTAGATTACATGGAAGTGTATGCACTGGTGGCGAGAATGGATACAATACGTTTGATGATTGCTCTAGCAACTCAAAAAGGCTGGAGTATTTATCAAATGGATGTAAAATCCTCTTTTCTTTATGGAACGTTGCAAGAAGATGTGTATGTTCAATAACCGCAGGGCTACATTATGAAGAACAATGAGCATAAGGTGTATAAGCTTCAAAAGGCTTTATACGGGCTTAAACAAGCCCCCAGGGCTTGGTTCAACCGCATTGAAGCTTATTTCGTTAATGAAGGGTTTACGAGAAGCAAATCAGAGGATACATTATTTATCAAGAAACAAGCAGGAGGTAAATTATTGCTTGTAAACATCTATGTCGATGATTTGTTTTGCACAAGAAATGATGAGAAGATGATGGAGGACTTCAAAACTTCAATGAAAGGTGAGTTCGAGATGACCGATCTGGGAAAGATGAGGTACTTTCTGGGAATAGAAGTGATCCAAACTTCAGTGGGTATTCATATTTCACAAAAGAAATATGCAGTCGAAATACTGACCCGTTTCAAGATGATGGAATGTAATGCAGTAGCCAATCCAATGGTGCCAGGATGCAGACTAAAGCAAGATGAAGGGGAACCAGTTGATGAAACCTTGTTTAAACAGTTAGTTGGTAGTCTAATGTACATCACCACCACACGGTCCGACATTCAGTTTGTGGTAAGTTTTATAAGTCGATTCATGGCTAAACCCACAAAAACTCATTTTGCATCAACAAAACGAGTGATGAGGTATCTACAAGGAACATTGGATTATGGGGTTTGGTACAAAAGGGGAGGAAGTGGAAAGATGGAAGTCTTCACAGATAGTGACTTTGCAGGCGATCCGAATGACCGRAAAASTACYTCGGGTTASTTAGTTCTGTGGGATGGAGCARCAGTGTCATGGTCATCAAAGAAACAAAGCATCGTCGCSYTGTMATMYACGGAAGYTGAATACGTGSCAGYYGYAACATGTGCTTGCCAAGTTATTTGGGTTCGAGGAATACTAGAAGAGCTTGGTTCACAGCTGACAGGAGGAACTGTGATAAAATGCGACAACACATCGACGATTCAACTCTCAAAAAATCCTGTTTTTCATGGCAGGTGTAAACACATTAGTGTTCGTTTTCACTTTCTGAGAGATCTGGTTAATGATGGAACTATTGAGCTGAAATATGTTGAGACAAGGGAGTAGGTAGCAGACATCCTTACTAAGCCTTTGCATCAAGATGATTTTCAAAGGCTAAGAGAAAGGCTTGGTATGTGCTCATTCAAGGACAAACAAGTCGTAGAAGCCTAGTCTTGTTTGAGGGAGGGTTTGATGGAATTGGTGGTCTGTTGGATGAAACGGTAAACTCAAATAAAGCTGACTGGGTCAACTCAAGTTAAGTGGCACACGTGATAGACCGAGTCTTATGTTATTTCCATTTTTTTAGTATTCTTCCTGTTTTCTAGCTTAGTTTGTTTATTTCAGTTGGTTTTGCTTTTGTATTTAAAGCCAACTTTGACATTTCTTAATGTATCGAAATTCAGTAAAAAATACCTATCATTTTGTTTATCATAAACATCATATAGACAATTCATCTTGTCTAGTCTAATCTCATCATGTTAAATCCATATCAAAACAAAATCTAACTAAAAACCAAAATAAAACAACCATTGTGGATGAATATGCATGCCAGAGTCTTTTTTTTCTTGCAGAAAAAAACAGTAAATACCAAATTCAAGAAAATGAGACCAAAGAAGTGCAACTAACTCTATTTTCGTTGTCCAAACTTTATTGGAATAATATAGGAGACTCGGATGGGTCCATACTCCATTGACGTGTGCCGACTCCATGCTACTGACCCACGTATATCAAGTCCATACTCCATTGATGTGTGCTGACTCCATGCTACTGACCCACATATATCAGACCCCCATTTCCCTCACGTTCTCAATCGCAAGCTTGCGTATGCGTCATCATCACTCTCCATACCGCTCTTTCTCCATCTATCTAAAGTTTCCCAGCTGCTTTCCAAGGTTTCTTCCATCAATTTTGCACAAAAACTGTACAGATTAATGGGTGGTTTTGATATGGAATCGTTGGTGGATGCAACAGCAGGGGCGATTGGATCTCTTGCTAGCACTACTATTCTGTACCCTTTAGATACCTGCAAAACCAAATACCAAGCTGAATTACGTACCCCTAATCTCAGGAAATACAGGTTTTTTTTTCCTTTTCGGTTTTTTTTTTGCTTTCGTTTATCAATTTCTAAATAGCCTTTTCATTGAAGTATGAGGGTTTGATATTGGATTTAATATGCGCCTGATTGCTCAGATGTCATAGTATTTGCTTGATAGGTTTGAGTACTAGTCTGAGTAGATTGACTGATTTATAGGAGAAGTATGCTAATTACGAATTACATTTTTGTTCTTTTATATATATGAAGAACTTTATCAAATATGATATGTAAGAGTCTAGGCTACTTCGACATTGATGATCATGAACCCTAAAGAGAATGGAAACCCCACAAGGAATCAGTAGGTACAAAATTTACAAGATACTTATGTTTCTGAACACATAAATGAAACTACTAAGCATCAACACAAGGTTCGGCTTCCTATGAATATTTTGGATTTGAACTGTTTAAATCCAAAATTCCTTAGCAATTCAGAAATTTTGCTATTGGGGGTTTTCCCTTTTTGATCAATTACACTTGGCTTCTTATTGGAAGCAGGGATTATTGATGTTGCAGATAGAAATATAACAAGTTTTAGTCTAATTTATCACCAATTTATGCCAATGGCGTCAATCTCATGGGAACCATCTAAAGCAAAAATTCAATTCAATTCACAATGTTGCTATTGATGATTTGCCGTTTTTGCTCAATTACACTTGGATGGTTGTTGGAAGCAAGGAGAAAGGGAGGTTGTGAATAGAGTTATAAGAAGTTTAGTTTACTTTTTCACCAATTTATGCCAATCCCTTCAAGCATTTTACTTTGTGATATTTTGTCTCATCTTCTAGGTGGTAATACCTTGGGGGTAATTGATTCAAATCCTTCTCTTCTTGCCTTCTCCAAATAAAAATATAAAAAAAGCTTTTGTTGGTGCCTATACCAGAGCACAGGATGGAGTTCCTAACACCTTTGTCAGGAACTTTATTCAAGGATATGAGGAAACTAACTAATGGAGCAAGTAGAGATCACATCCTTGAAGCAAAGCAAACAAACCTAGTATATCTCTCCAGGAGGTCTGGTCCTCGCTTTGGGGGGTGGGGATATATCCGTGGATCTTACCTCTATCCCAAGAGGCGAGGGACCGACACTATCCGATTAGACAGAGAGGCTGTTTCTGAGAAGAACTCTGCTTGCAAGAAGGGAAAGATCACATCCTTGAAATGGTGACCAAATACTATCATTGATTGTTGAGGTCTATGATGGACGTATGACAAACTGTGAAGGGGAAGAATTATGAGAAGTCATTCGACATGTTTCTGTGAGCTCATGGTCTTCCTCTTCTGTTTTTAAATACTGATTTCAAAGTTAAATTCCCCTAAAAACATTTCTACTATGACTGTGTTATGCAGAAACTGCACTTTTAGATGCTTCAAATCTAGGTATAGTATTCAATAGTGGTGGATCCAGGATTTTCAACCAGGGTATAATGAATTATTTTCACTAGAATAAAAATTTCTTATTTTTCTAATTCTTTTACATTAGAAAACATCATCATTTTATTTTCAAGGTAAGCATGTGCGTATCTAGCAAGGTGCGTAGGTGTACAACTCTTTATTAAATAGATACCTTGTGAGTAGAGGATATCTACATTGACCTCCATCCCCTCATATCGACAATTCTGCCCTCATTGTTCTTCATTCTTTTGGTTGTCTATGACCATATTCTTGACTGTGGGTTTCCGGTATTTTTCATGCAGTTCCTTGTTAGGGTCAAAGGCCTTCTTTAAGTTACTTGGTCTAGGGTTTGACTTGTATTAATTGTAATCAAGATTTTATACAGTTTCTATGTATGCATTTGTCTTCTATGAGATGTTTTAGGTTTCTTTTTTGATGTATATAATATTTATATACGACAAATAGAACAAATAAACTCACACACCTTCCTCACCTTTGGTAAGGTTTGAACCCTTGACCTCCTAGGAGGCCAATGACTCACATACCGTTAGGCCAAAGGCCCTTTGGTAGGGGTTTTTCCATCATTCATCAATATGGGTTTGTTCTTATCCTATTGTCTTCAATTCTTCTGAAATAAATATATTCCTGATTTCCTGCTACGCAAATCTTGTCTAATTCATATTTCATACAGGAACCTTTCTGATGTTCTTTGGGAAGCAATTTCTACACGTCAGGTTCTTTCTTTGTATCAAGGTCTAGGGACAAAGAACCTGCAATCCTTTATTTCATCCTTCATATACTTCTACGGATATAGCTTCTTTAAGAGGCTGTACGTGGAGAGGTCTGGGTATAGGTCTATTAGCACCAAAGCTAACTTGCTTATTGCTGCTGTTGCTGGCGCTTGTACTGTTGCAATAACCCAGGTCAGTCAGAATCATATCACCACATCTTACTCTTATGTGTGTGTGTGTGTATATATATACATAGAGAGAGAGTTGGGATCATGTGAAAACAACTCCTTTTTTTGAAAAAGTGAAAACACTTCTGAGCCCTTGGATGAGTTGATTTTGATCTAACGGCTAAAAGAATGCAGACCTTTAAGTATGCTCATCTGATGGTCGACAAAAAGACATGAACCTTCATCTACCATCATCTTCACCTTCACAAACTTTTACATACCTTCAATCTCTTTCATATGCATGAATTTTTGAAGTTTCAGTCATGGTGATAAAAATAGGTAGATGAAGGCAAATGAAGGTAGATGAAGATTTGTGAAATACGGGTAGATGCAGGTGGATGAAGGTTTCTGTTCTCACGGGAACCTGACCATATATATATATATATATATATATATATTGAGAGAGAGAGGGAGGGGGCAGAGGAGGTTCAAGGGAGAACCCCAATAAAGGGGGAAGAAGGGAACTCCTATCAACAGTTAGATCTAAAAAATAGATCACCCTGATTCGAATATTAACTGCCTTCATGATGGTGGATTTAGTTTTGGCAAAATGTAACTGTCCCTATTATTTACATCCATTGGATTAAATTAGATGGATGGTTCGGGTGAGTTCCCTTGTACAAACACATATACAGGATTTGGAACGTGAATATACAATCATATTATGTCTTGTTTTCTGAGATAATAATTAAATCTGAGGTGTTTCTTCAGCCTTTGGATACAGCGGCATCAAGGATGCAAACAAGTGACTTTGGCAAGTCCAAAGGGCTATGGAAAACCCTCTCGGAGGACTCCTGGGAAGAGGCATTTGATGGACTCGGCATATCGATTCTGCTTACAATAAATCCAGCAATTCAGGTAATTTTTTGTTTTGGATAATCGTGGGGTCCCCGAAGTTAACAGAGTAACCACTTTGGAGCAAACCCAATACCTTACCAGTTGAGCTACCTCTAAGGGTTAATTTTTTTTTTTATTGTAGTGGGCAAAAAAGAATATATTTCTATTAATTAATGCTGCGATGAAAGTTGAAGGCTTACATGCTTGAGAGTTGAGATCTGGAGAGTACATGATCCGATGACTAATGAAATTGACTTAAAATTACATAAACCAAACTCCTATAAGTTAGTGACACTGTCCCAATGCTCAACAATGAAGAACTATCTTTAGGTGTCTGTTATAGGGGCCGTTTACCAAACGCTTACCGAGTCAGTTACCTCCAAGTGAGCACACTTGGACCAAGAATCTTACCTGGTAAGAGGGAGAAGTCTCTTACCCGGTTAGTGCTTACCAGGTAAGAGACGCTTACAAACAAGCGATTTTGATGGCTTAGATCCAACACGATAATTGAGGATGGTGACTCTTGCCGGTAAGTGCTTACCCGATGAGCATTTGGTAAACGGGCACTTAATTCATAATTAACTCCATATAAGGTCCAAACGTGGGTCCAAATCGCAACAGTGACAAGTATTAATACTCTGACTGCCAATATTACCTTGAAATTGGGTTCACAAATTGTAGCTCCACAACAATGTTAAAAACCTTAGAATCCATCAATGGCTGGAACGAGGATTCGTGGGGGGCAGGTATGGGGCATTGATTGGGCGATCGGAATCAATTATCACTCGGAGGGAATTAGATAGCTGAAAATCAACGGTCTTATCAATCTAGTTATTTGTCATACAGAAGATAAGTTGAATCTCATAATTAGCAAGTGGTCTATTTTAAGGACGAAAAAGTCACACCACAAACAAATTACTCAGAGATCAAGACTAAAGAAAGCATGTAATTAAATGGAATTACAAGAGAAAAACTGACTTGATAACAGCAGAGGATTTGATGGGTTGAAGAGGAAGAGTGCTTTGAAGCATTAAGATCTTTGGTAGTCAAAATTCACTTGTTCCAACCAAAATTTTGAGAGATCCCTTTTGAGTTCTCAAGATCTTTTTGCCAAAAGATTGACTTGTATTGAAAGTTACATATGTCCAGGCTTGAATAGGAAGACATTTCCATACTAAAGGTACACAGAACACCATTGCCTCTACCCTATTGACATTGAACTAATAATGAAACCAAAACTGGAACTAATCCTTCAAACCTTAACCAACAGAGCCTTGACAATGCCTGGTCCAGTGCGAACACACCAAATCAAACCAAACGAACCCACATGGAGTAGGGTCTGGCGAGGGTATGATGTATGCAGACTTGGGATAGATAGGCTGTTTCTGTGAAGATTCCCGACATGTAGAAAAGATTAACATCATTTATGAAGGTCCATAAGAACTTGTCCAAGCGAACTAGAATACCCAAGTTGAGATAAATGATAGCAACAGGATAACCAAAATCACATGTGGATATTGGCGGACTCATCAAGACGTGTTGAAACAAGATTTTGTGATGGGCTTTGCAGATAAATAAGGCGAAAAGAGAAATCTTCTCTAGTTGAACAAGCCAGGTAAGATGACCTCTTATTGAGACTTAACATCATACTTTCTTACAGAAAAAAATAAGAGAGAAAAATAGAAGACCCAATAAACACTTGAGGAGTGAAACTTTTGTCTCCTGATCATTTAAAGCAGTTGCTAGGCCATTCAAGTGAACCACATGAACAAGTCCAACTGGGATCATCCTTTCAAATTGTGAAGCTGTTATACACATTTATCTTGATAATTCCTGTTTATGCCCCTCTCTTCCAAAAAGAGACTGTTTGGGATAGAGGTGAGGTCTGCATACATCTTATCCTCCTCAGACCCCACCTCTGCGTGAGATACCAGGTTCATTCGACTTTATTTCAAGAAGAGTTTTACATTGATTTATCAAGTCAAACACACTAATTTCAAATTTAATTGTTACATTCCAAAATTGTTCTTATTAAAAAGTTTTATTTAGTTGCTGAAAGTTTCAGTAAATATCAAAGATCCTTGTCGATTTTGGATTTGGAAAGTAGTATCCTCATTTTTTAGACTCAGAGTGTATCCAAAGATCCATTTCCCCTTGCAAAAGGTGCAAGTTTGCACCATATGAATGGTGAACTCCAAGAAAAACATGATTTACTCGAAGAAAGATGATAATTCTAATGGAAGTTTATTTTATATTTTTTTGTCAGTACACTGCATTTGATCAACTGAAACAAAGACTGCTAGAGGGACAGCTTGGTAACCCACAGTCGCTTTCTGCCCTTTCTGCTTTTCTGTTAGGGGCAGCTTCAAAGTGCGCAGCTACCTGCTTGACTTACCCAGCTATCAGGTAAATTCTTCTTTGGGGAGCGGATTATACAAATAAATAAGTTATAATGCGTGTCCGAAAGAGGTAAAATTTCACTTTTCAGGTCAAACCAAAAAGTTTAGCGTAGTTAGGTCATGTTTGGCAACCATAAAGCTAGCTTATTTATTGACCTTATTTAAAAAGCCCGGTTTGATCAGTTAAAAGATGGTTTTTAAAAAAGCTATTTCAAGCAGTGTTTCAATAAGGTCCAGTGGTTTTTTCTCTTCTTCTTTTTCCCATTAATATTTCAACATGGTCTTTTAGGTCATTTTACATTGTGATCCATCTAGCTTATCAACTAGTTCTTATCATAGATGACTAGTTAGTTTATCAAACATAACTTTAGTTACACCAGTTAATCTTCTACTTCCTCCGTTCCAATAAATGTCCATATTTCTATTTTGGTTTGTCCTGAAACAATTGTCCACACTCAAAAGTAAGTGTCTACTTCCAATTCTGCCCTTAATTATGAGACTGAGAAAAAATTCATTACTCCCTCTATTGTTACGGGTATGATTTAGTTAAATAAAAGTAGACGTTTCTAAAACTGTGTGGCTTTTTCCTTGTGGGCATTTATTTTGTGACAGAAGTAGCAATAAAGAATTCAGTAATTTGAACTTATGTATCTGTTTGACATGTATGTACAGATGCAAGGTTATGATTCAGTCTGCGGAATCAAGTGAAGATACAGAGGAAGTGAAATCAAGAAAAACGGTATCTGGAGCACTCTATGCTATATGGAATAAGGAAGGATTTCTAGGATTCTTCAAAGGCTTAAGAGCCCAAATCCTAAAGACTGTGCTAAGCTCAGCTTTGCTTCTAATGATAAAAGAGAAGATCACAAAGAGCACATGGGTACTGTTTCTGGGTATAAGGAGATTCTTGTTTTTAAGCCGAAGCAGGTTAAAAAGCTCTTAAATAAGATGGGAGACACAAAGCCTGTAGAAATATTTGTATTTGATATGCCAACTGTTGGTGTAGAGAAATGATCTTTTTCAAGCATTGGGATGGTTATATTTAATGCATTATAATGACTTGTAATTTGTGAATAGAACTTGTTTGATTGGCATAGAATTTTGTTTTATACATCATCATGCATGCCTGACTACATACATTCTTTATTTATGTTAGGAATAGGTTTATCAAACCGCAAGACATCAAACTCTACTACGAGGTTTGGTTTAACCAACATATTTTCCGTAAATACTTCCTCTATGGAAAAAGAGGAAAGGCCCAAAGCCAATCCCAGGAAACAATGATGGACGTGTGAGTAAGAGGTTGTTTATTAAACGCTTACTTGGTAAGTGCTTGCCAAATAAATTTTCTTATCGGATGAACATGACAAGGGCCAAGAATCTTATCGCTCTTACCCGGTAAGTGAAGATTACAACCCTTACCCAGGTAAGTGCTTACCCGGTAAATTGTTGCATTTTAATACGTTTTGATGTATAAAAATCTTACTCGTCAAAATAAATTATAGTGTTGACTCGTACAGATAAGCGCTTACCAGGTAAGCATTTAGATAAACAACCCCTAGATTGAATCAAAAATAGGTCCATCAATACTCAGAAATTACCTAATCGATTACTTTTTTTGCATATATGAATCATAGCATATACAATACTTTTAATGATAAAGTTGGGTGTACATAAAAGTTGTGATTCCCACCTTAACTTATAAATACAGATAGGGTAGTGAAATATATTGCATGGGATAAGATCATAGGAGAACTCTTAGAAAAAGAAGAATCAAACAACCCATTCAAATCGTTGAATTGAGATCATCAAAAGAATGTGAATAAAAAGATGGTTACCATCCGCTACAAGGATTTTCTTAACGTCACAAATGATTTTTTATTAAGAAATTGTGGTGGTTTGAGTATGATTATTTTAGGGGAAATTTATAAAAATAACCATTTAATACAACCATTTGCCACAAAATAACCGGGTTTTTTTAGGTTTTTGCGTTTTGACCACCCGGATCTCCCCCGGGGGCGATCCGTACATGTGGGGGGTGATCCGTACATAAAGGGTCTTTAAAAAAATATTCAGCCTTAAAAGACGAGATTACTGTTCACCCTCGAAAACCGAACTTTGACCTCGCCCTAGGGGGCGATCCAGACTATCCCATCTCCCCCAGGGGCGATCCAGCCTAAAAATCTTTTTTTTGTGGTATTTATAATAAAACTGATACCCCATTTAAGTTGTATTTTTTAACTTTTTTAGAACCAAATTTCATGGGTAAAGGTTTAAAAATAAACCATTATAATTATGAAGACGCAAAAATTATTTTTATCTGATTTGGGTTTCGTAAATCAGATATAAACCCGTACATCTCTTCTTTTTTTTCATTTTTTCTACTTCCAATTTCACTATAAAATATCAACCTCCTACTTCGTAATTTTTCACATCTTTCCTTTCATTTCTCTTCTCATATATTCTACTCTCACAACCCTTAACCCATTAAACACAATAAATTATCACAACCTTTAACCCACTAAACACAATCAACCATCACAAAACATGAAATCACGTCAAAGTGATGATGTTTGTGTATATCTTCGAAGTGGCGATTTATTCCAAGATATAAATGGTGTTTTAGAGTACCTTCCGATAACCTCCCCCACATGTGCAATATGTTTGTCTTCGCCAATAACGTATTCTGGGGTCGTCAAACGTGTGACGAAAAAGTTAAGTTTATGTGGTCCTTTCAATTTATTTTTTAAAACGAATACGTTATATCAATATATGGACGACAATGATGTGGTAATCCTCCACAACGCCATTCGTCAAACTTTACCAGAAATATTGACACTATATGTGGTCGACAATGGAGGTTATGGAGGAAATCCATCAAGTGCAAACTCGGGCAGTCCAAACACTTTTTACCCCGGTTTTGTGAGCACACTCTTCCCCGACGTTAGCGGTGCAAACCCATATGGTCCAAGCACACTCTTCCCTACCGGTTGTGCTCCTGGTGTAAATCAGAGCACTTTCTTCCCTAGCTGTGGAAGTGGTGAAAATCGAAGCACCTTCTTCCCTTACGATGGCATGGGAAATTCATATCTTGAACAAAAAGTTACCGTTGAACCTGACAGTTATTTTGTTCAAGACTTGAACATGCCTCCGATGCAGTCTTCCAACCCGTACCTGATCCGGTCTCCCGAACTGTCAAAACCGTTGTGGTAGGTAGATATGGCAGAAGATGTTTCTGTTGCTGTTGAAATTTTGAACATACCCGAAGACGACGATAACTCCGATTCCGAAGATATCAAGCCGGTAAGGAATAGTTTTTGAGGTATGCCCGACCCACCACCTTGTCCGGACCCAGTTATCAAAAGTAGACATGGAAACATTTCCTACCAGCCTACATCCCATGTCAAAGTTCTACAAACCTTTGACTCGAAGGAAGCACTTAAGCTCGCAGTGGGATTAAAGTGCGTTCATGAAAACTTTCAGATGAAATTAAAGAAATCTTCCAAACACCGGTACGAGGTGGTGTGTCACTCAGATTTGGACTATGATTGGCGTTTGATGGTTGTTTCCATCGATGGTACCAGTATTTTTCAGATACGAAAGCTCCACGATGAACACACATGTTCAAGTCCCAAGTGAACCCAAACCACCGTAATGCGAATAAAAAGGTTTTGGGTCATATACTGGCAGGCAGTCTAAAGGATTGTAGGAGAGTGTATCGTGGTAAAGAAATCATGGAAGATGTGAACCAACGGTTCAATATTAGCATCTCCTACCACCAAGCATGACAAGCAAAGATGTATGCCTTGCAACTGTTGAGGGGGACTCCAGAATCGTCGTTTAACCTACTTCCGATTTATTGTCACAATCTGAAACTAGCAAATTCGGGGACTGTGACAGAGATCTCTCTTGATCCACTTGGACAATTCGACATGTTGTTTGTCGCACTCGGTTGTTCAATAATAATTTTGTCATATTTTATAATTATTGTCATAATTTTATGTTCTGAAATTACATTTTTAATCTTGTTCATCTGCAGATTCGATCGTTTCTAGGACACATGAGACCGCTTCTTATAATGGACGGTGCCCATCTGAAGGGCCCGTACGTTGGCACCATGTTCTTAGCGGTCGGCATAGATGGAAACAATGGTATCGTACCCATTGCAATGGGAGTGGGGAAAACAGAAAGTGGTCCGTCATGGACATGGTTTTTACGTAAGCTTAGGCAGTGTATCGGTGATGTGCCCAATTTAACCTTCGGTACCGATAGGGCTGCCTCTATCGACCTGGCCATACGAACTGTATTTCCTTCTGCGCACCATGGACTTTTTTGTCGGCATCTTAGCCAAAACCTCCGCCTAAACTCCACTAAAGAGAAAAGAAAACGATGGATGTTCTGGGAGACATGCAAAGATTACTGGTTGTCGGACTTTGAAGCTACTATAGATTTGATGCGGCACAGTCTACCTAGAGCTGCTCAATATCTTGAGGAAGTTGGCTACGCTAGATGGGCACGATCGCACTTCCCTGGATTGCGTTACAGTGCAATGACGTCCAATAGTGTTGAGTCCGTCAACTCAGTAACGCGGTTTGCACGCTATCTTCCGATAACAATGTTAGTTGAAATTTATCGGGCGATATTGCAATAATGGTATTTCATACGTCGGCATAACGGAGGTAAATTCAACCATCCTTTGACTTTATGTTTGACTATGTAACATATGCTAATGATATCAAATATCTGCAGTGCAAATGATGAATGCAGTGACTCCTTGGGCGGAGGCCAAATTAGAGAAGAGAATACATAAATTGGAAGGTATATCCCATCAGTGATTTGTTGTTTGAAGTTGGCGACCGCTATAAGAAAGGAACGTGTGATTTGCATGCTAAGACTTGTACATGCATGCAATGGCAACTTTCTGGAATAGCTTGCGGTCATGTGATTTCTGTTGCTCGAAGTTTAGATATTCAAGACTGCAGTCAATTCTGTTCTGTTTGGTTCAATTCCGACTCTTACCGTGCAACATACGAGGAGGAAGTCATTCCCCTTCCACCAGAAGCTGAATATGTGTTGCCTAATGAACGTTTGACCGTCCTACCGCCTCCATTGGACATACAAAACTCAGGCAGGCCACGCAACCGCGATCGTATCCCGTCACGAGACGAGGAACCAATAGTGAAAACTTGCAGTCGATGCGGCCATAGTGGACATTTTCGATATAACTGTCCGAGTCTGATGCCAGCTCTTAGGCCACGCACGGAAGTTCAAATAGTCGTCGAAAATCAGTTAGTCGTCCAAGTGATTGTGGTCCGTCTGAACATGATACTACACAAGACTATGTATTTGATACTTACGATTTAAGTAAGTAAATGTACGATTTTTAAGTGTACTTTTGTTATTTTAATGGAAAATGGAAGTTTGATTTAGAAATGCATGAACATTAACCATCAATACATTGACGAATCAACTGAAACAACACCATTCAGACGCAACATTAAACTGAAAAACATCAACGACAACAAAAACATTAATACATAACATTCATGTTAGTTTCCTTCTGGGTAAAGTTGTTTGCAAGACTCAATCCAGTACTGTTTTTCATTGATCATTTCTTGCATCACTGGGTACCCATTCGCGATGTCCTTCACAATTTTTTCCTCCGCTCGAATCTCCTTTTGCAATTGCTTGATAGCTTTTTTCTTCTCTTCAATGGATTCTTCGTGTTTGTTTTGTTTCTCCCTGTTAGCCCACCAGTCATCGATGATCTTCTTAATCTCCGCTTCGGCCTTTTCAATCGAAGCTTTCATCCTTGTAGGCATTGTTTGAGAAGACAATGGGTTTCCAGCCATTTCTTTCAATAAGTGGACAAGTACTTGTATCGGACTTGATATGAAGTTGTGATATATGATTTCACAAGACATCATTTTTATACACTATTGGGCCTTACGATTTAAAAAAAGTTGGTCTAGTAGTTGGCATGATGTGGTCAAATTCGGTCATGAACCTGCACGACTTGTTAAATCGAACCTGACATAAAGCTTACAAGATTCGTCCTGGCACCCTGACCCGTGAACCTACCAATGCATTGTCACAGCCTACGAGTTAATAGCTAG